GTATTATTTCATTACTTAATTAAAAAACACAGAATTACATTCTAGAAGTACTATTTGCATACATTGGTTGAACGCTTTCCCATTCTTGACAACCACCAGGTATATTTATTTTCCAACCGTAAATTCAAGATCATCATCTTTTGATATCTTTTGATTTGTAATGAAGAGTGAGATCTAAGGGAGTTGTATGTGGAGAGATATCATTCTGAATTATGACAGTTACCTTAGGATAGAAAGAGATATCGCTAGCCTCAACTACTATTACAGCAATCAACAGTATTGAAATTTTTAAGGCAATTGTGTCTTGATATCCCATGGCAAGATGTAGAATACCAATAAGGCTTATATAGGTCTTAATTTATAGAAATAATTAAAAGACAAATAACATTAATTATCATTTACAACTATCTTCCGGACAAAATTTAAAGTTTATCAACTAAAATAATAAATTTAACCTTTACTAAAACATACAAGAATTAGAAATGACAATTTGGACCCATTCTTAATGGATATCACAAAAATTATTCACAATAAATAGAGTAAAATTCGTAAGATAGTTGTTGGTATGGTGCAGGTACGAGTACCTTAGTATTCACCATAATTCATACATACATAATAATATATAATATATAATGTTTAATATTTTTTATTTTTATAATAATGTGTAGATATTAAATTTATCAAATTCTATTAAATACATTAGTATTAAATTTGTTCGTATGTTTTTTTTAAGTTAACAATACCGTCTTTAAAATTTTTAATATTATTAAAAACTTAAAATGACATGATAAATTATAATTGATATATTATTTTTTATTAGAAATGGGTATTTAAATATTCATAGAATACGGGTACGAATATAAACGTTGGTGTCTTTGTAGGTATGGACTCAAATACAAAGATATTTTTAAATTTTGTTTTCACCATCACTATCTGATCCATTATACCGTATAATCTGGTTCAGATCCTGCCCATCGATCTTAAGAGTTATGGTTTATATCTCAATTTTTTTTGTTTTCACTATCAATATTCGATTTACTGTATCGTTTAATTTGGTTTGGATCCTGCCTATCGATCTTAAGAGCTGTGATTTATACCTCAATTTTTTTTGTTTTTACCATCAATATCCGTTCCATCAGAAGGAAATAGCACTTCATATTTCAGAGTTCCCTTGATATACCCCAGAATCCTGATAGCAGTTTGGTAATGAGACCACTTTGGTTTACTCATGAATTTGCTAACCATTCCAACTGCATAGCAAATGTCAGGTCTGATATTGCACAAGTACCTGAGAGAACCAATCAACTGCTTGAAGGTCATAGCATCTACAAAATCACCATCAGAATCCAATTTATGATTGGTTTCTGATGGTGTCACAGCAACTTTACAATTCTGCATCTTAAATCTCTTAAGAAGTTCAAGTTCATACTTCAGCTGATGTAGAATGATACCCTTCTTTGAGTACAGAATCTCCATTCCTAGAAAATATACCATATTTCCCAGATCTGTCATCTCAAATTCATTCATCAGAACTTCTTTGGACTTGATTATATCTTCTGGACAAATTTCTATTAGCAATATGGCATCAACATATAGACACACCAGAATCATATTGCCACCAGAATGCTGCACATACACGCCATATTCCATCTTACATTTCTGAAACTTCTGCCTCTTGAAAAACGAATCAATTTTTAGATTCCAAGCTCTGGGTGCTTGTTTCAGTCCATACAAGGCTTTATGTAACTTGTATACCATCCCTTCCTGATTCTTTTTCACAAATCCAAGAGGTTGTGACACATATACCTCTTCTTGTAACGGACCATTCAGAAATGCAGACTTCACATCCAGATGTATCAAAGGCCAATTTCTGTTTGCAGCTAAAGCAATCACCAGTCTGATTGTTTCATGTCTAGCTACAGGCGCAAACACCTCAAAGTAATCTAGCCCAGGTTTATGGAAAAAACCTCTAGCGACTAGTCCCGCTTTGTGTTTGCCAATTGATCCATCTGGCTTAAGCTTCACCTTGAAAACCCATCTGACGCTGATGGCTTTCTTCTTTTCTAGAAGCTTCGTCAACTTCCAAGTTTTGTTTCTTTAAATAGCCTCAAGTTCTTCCTTCATGGAATTCAACCATACTTTCTTCTTGAGAGCTTCTTCAATATCCACTGGTTCAGAATCTACTTCAGTATCATGCAACATGCTAAAATCTGCAAACCTACTTGGTATTTGTCTGATTCTCTGGGGCCTCTGAACTTGTTCTGAAGCTTCTCTAGAACTTGGAACAGTGCTAGCTTCTGGACCTTGTCCAGAACTACTTCCTTCAGAATTACCACCTTCAGAGTTACTTCTGGGAGCTTGTCCTCCAGACCCTATGTCTTTAGAGTTTTCCCTTCCAGAAATATAATCACCACTAGATTCTGGATCATCATCAGAATCTGGATCAGAATCAGACCCACTATCAGAATCTCCCTAAGATTCTGACTCATCTTCAGAGTCTTCAGATTCATCTTCTGACTCTGACTCGTCTTCAGAACTTTCTGAAGAATCTTCAAAAACTAACTCTAGCATTGGCGCTACACCAGAATATGATTGAAGCTTGTTTCGATCCCATGTTTCTGACTCTTTCATAATAACGTCTCTGCTGATTTCAACTTTTTTGGTTTCTGGACAATAAAGTTTATATGAACATGTATTGTGGTACCCCACCAGTAACATTACTTTGCTTCTATCATCCAGTTTCCGTCTTCTAGCTTCTGGAACATGTTTGTAGCATACAGAACCAAACACCCTCAGATGGCTAACACTTTGCTTATCTCCAGCCCACTTTTCTAAAGGAATAATTTCCTTCAGCTTCTTCATTGGACACCTATTCAGAACATATGCTGATGTGGAAACAACTTCTCCCCATAACATGTGAGGTAGTTTCTTCTCTTTTAGCATACTTCTGGTCATATCAAGCAAAGTTTTGTTTCTTCTTTCAACAAGACCATTGTACTGAGGAGTATATGGAGTAGTAACCTCATGCTCTATTCCATTCTCCTCACAGAACTTCTGGAACTCTATATAGTTATACTCACCTCCATCATCTGTTCTCATAATCTTCAGCTTCTGACCACTTTGCTTCTCAGCCTTCACCTTGAACTTCTAGAACTCAGTAAACACTTCATGCTTGAACTTGATGAGTGTTACCCATGTCATTCTTATAAACTCATCAACAAAAGACACAAAATATTTTTCCCTCCAAGTGAAGATACTGGAAACGGTCCACACACATCATAATGTACTACTCCCAAAGCATGCTTCGCTCTGGGGGCTACTTCTGATGCAAATGGAAATCTGGGTTGTTTGTCTTTCATGCATATATCACGTGACTTCTCAGGCTTCACACTCTTCAATATGCCATGTACAAGCTTCTTAGAACTTAGATTCCCTAAGCTTTTATAGTTCAAGTGCCCCAACCTCTTGTGCCACAACTTACTGTCACCTTTAGCTCCTTCTGCACTGAGACACTCTGCTTCAATTGTTTCTACATTCACCTTGAATGTTCTGTTGCTTCCCTGCTCATACTTAATAATCAACTTTTGATTAGAATCATATAACGTCAAGAGGTTGTCCTTCATAACAACTAAGAACCCTTTCTCAATGAGATGATCCACACTCATCAGATTGCTTTTAATTCCAGGAACATACCAAACATCTTTGATCAAAATGTTTTTTCATTCTTTACTCTGACTCTGACATTTCCCATACCTTCTGTATTAAGATACTTATCATCAGCACATCTGATCTTTGTTTTCCTTCTGGAGTCAAAGTCTATCAGCAATTGTTTGTTCCCAGTCAAGTGGTTTGAATAGCCAGTGTCCATATACCACCAATATTTTGAACACTTTCCATCAGAATCAGAAGCCATCAGTAGCACAGGTTCATCATCAGAATCTCCTCTGGCTATATTTGCTTCTTCTTATTTCCTTCCTCTGTTTCTACAATCTCTGGCAAAATGGCCAAACTGTTTACAACAGTAACATTGAACCTTCTTCTTGTCATACCTTTCCTTTCCCTTCTGATATTTCTTTTCATCAGGAGTTGAGGTTTCTGACTTCTGGAATTTATCACCACATCTATTCTGCTTCTGGTCCTTCTTGACAAAAGAAGCCTTCAGAGCTTGCTCCACTTCCCTCTCAAATTTTTTTCCAGTCAGACGCAACTCTTGCGCTTCTAAACTGCTTTGCAACTCTTCTATTCTCATGGTTTCCAGATTTTTAGAATGTTAAATAGAAACAACAATGTAATCAAACTGAGGAGTAAGTAACCTCGGAATCTTCTCTATAATTACCTGTTCAAAAAGTGTTTCTCCACAAGCTTTCATCTCATTAGTGATCAGAATCATTCTGGAGATGTACTCAACAACTTTCTCACTGTTCTTCATGTTGAGATTCTCATATTGCTTTCGCAGAGACTGAAGCTTCACCTTCTTCACTAACGCGTCACCATCGTAACATCTGACCAGTATATCCCATGCCTCTTTCAACGTCGTCGAATCAGCAATCTTCTCAAACACACTTTCATCCATACACTGATGGATATAGAACAGAGCTTTCTGATCCCTCTTCCTCGTAGCTCTTTCTGCAGATCTTTGTTCTTCAGTAGCATCTGTTACAACTGGAATATAACCATTGGTAACAAGATCCAGAACATCATGAGCACCAAACAACACATGCATCTGTATCATCCACCTGTTCCAGCTTTTTCCATCAAAAACTGGAAGTTTAGTGTTCAAGCTACTGCCTCTACTCATCTTAAACCTTGCACAAATCTCAGATCTCAGATTCTCACTTAGTGTTTACCAAACCCACAGAATCAGTATGATTCTATTCATATTTTGTTGAAGATTCAATAGAAATCAAACACACAGCTCACTTTTCACTCGTGTTTCCCAGAATTTCAGAAGAACCAAGTGCTCTAGATACCAATTTTATCTCCTCCATTCATCATCTCCTATGTTCTCATCATCATCAGAACAATCACTCTCCTTTGTTCATTGTTCTTATGGTAATTACTCTTCAAACTCACTTTACTTCTATTAGTAACATGTTTTTAGTTTAATTAATAAATTAGTAGTTATGTATTTACCACACTCACACATAATCAACAATTTTCACCGAACGACAGTGGTACTGTAGTATTTAATTAGCAAAAGCATGGTAGAAACAAGTTTTGTTAATTTTTTTTATACAAAAAAATATTAGGAATGAGTGTTTTTGCTTATTTTTGTTATTAATGTGAGATATATTTTTTAAAGAAAGAAATAAAATATATGTGTTTTTTTTAAAAAGGAAAAAAATAACGAAATATTAGTGTCATAGTTTTGATTGAAAAGTATAAAAAATTTCTTAAGTTCCATCTTCATGGATCTCTGTGGGGATCTGTGAGGATGGAGATGGGGAAAAATATTCCCCCGTGGTGGGGATTGAGGACGGGGATGAGGAATAAATTTGGGGGCAGGGATCCGAGAAGCATCCTCCGAACATTTCCTACCACGTTCACATCCCTAGATATAAGTCTTTAATTTTTATGACGACCTTATTCACCTTGCATCTAATGCCGAGGTAAAACGCATTTCACGTCCGACGTTAGAAGCATTATTTGTAGTAGTGGTTATATTTTTTGTACTATTTTTGAATTTTGTTGGTTTTTTTTTACCTTTTTAATAAATAAAAAAGTAAGATAAATGTAATGGGGTTCTATTATGTGACCTTGTGCCTAACATCCTTGCCTAGCTACCAACTAAACTGACTAACATCCCTGCCTAACATTCCAATAATAGAAGGTAAGTTGGATACATTGAGTAGTTGTATTCGGTTGGGTTCTAGCTAAGAAAATGCTTGGTCGACTATGTCCTTTATGATTCGCCTCTCTTTCATGCGAGTTCAACCATAAACTATTCACTGTAAAAACTGAACTTAATAGGTAGATATAAGGTTGTGAGATGAAATAATAATTGTGACATTTTGAGAATTATAATGGTAATTTGCACTCAACCTAGGTGCTTAGCGTACATAAGAATTGAAATGATGGATTCTTGAAGATTAAATTATTACTTGGGGTTAGAGTTGCCATAATGTGATTGAGAGTGCATATAATTTTTATTGAGGAATGTGTAAGTTCATTGTCGTGTGTATGGGAACATGAGGTTGATCTGTTGCCTGACGAGGATTTTTATTGCACGCTTGACAAGATGGTAAGATCTTGTTCGGTCTTTTTAGGGGTGATTGACTTATAACAATTGCACTCCACGTGAAGTTAGGTGGCGTAGTTCTTGGTATTTGGGAGTATGTTGTGGCATGTGGTAGTGTGATATCTAATCTTGGTAAATGGGTTAGATATCCTTGACAATGTTTAGTGGTATGAGTCAGCATATAGTTCAGAGATGTATTGAATAAACAGACAATGAATATAGATATATACTTGATAAGGATACACTTGCTTGACTGACTGTATTTGTCATATATATTATTATTTTACACCTCATCCCCACTTTTATACATGTACGTAAATTTTAGCCCTATATTCTTTTTTCTCTTGCATTTTTGGATTGATCTATGATGATCAAACGACGAACTAGACTCCCTCTTACACCCTGACAGTTCAGGAGGGAGTGTTAGAGAGTAACGTGGAGATGGATTACAACAACATCAAGATTAAAGGTTGGTAGCATTTTGTCAAACGCTTATCACATCACTAATATTATGTGATATTATATACCGTTAGTATAAATGTCAGTCACGTTGGATTTAGGAAGTCCTTTTTGTTATGCTTTCTTTTTATTTCCTTTATATTTTTTTCTATTAAGGTTTATCTATGTAGCAATGCTATTAGTCATATGTGTCAAACTCTATATAAAATATTAGAAATATATATTTCTAATATTTTATATATATATATATATATATATATATATATATATATATATATATATATATATATATATATATATATATATATATATATATATATATATATATATATATATATATATATATATATATATATATATATATATATATATATATATATATATATATATATATATATATATATATATATATATATATAAAGAAACTTGATCTTGAAAATTGTGTATTGAACTAACTAAAAATATATAATTATGTTTATTTTATATTTTATTCAAGACAAATTGTTTAGTAGGTTTCTTAACATGTTTAGTATTACCTTTTAAATTTTTCAAATGTTTAGTATTTTTATAAAGATTTCTAGGCTTCAATTACAATTTCACTAATAAGACATAGGCTGTCTCATTTTATGGTATCAGAATTATTCGATTATATTCAGATCATAAGTGTTTAGAGTTATACTTATTGTATCAAGTTGGATTTTAAACTAGATGATAACTTTTATTTTGTGCATTGATTCTTCGTTTGGTCAACTTTTATGAATTGATTGAGGAAGCGTCTTTAACACGCTTAACATATTTTTTCCCCTCTCAACGTTCATAAACAGTGAAATGAATATTATTTCCCTGCCTCATCCAATGGTCACAAACCCAACTGTAATATAACAGACATATCATAAAATTCACTCTATAAATAAATCCTATCTAATATTAAATAAAATTTATTGATTAAATAAATTTTATTTTCAAAATTAAATTTTAATATTTTATAAAATCATTATGGCTTAAATACAATGTTTCAATATTTTACAAATTATATCTATTTATGTAATAGAATTTTAACACATTTTATAAAATTAATATGGCTTAAATACAATGTTAGTTCTTCAATTTTTTTCAAAATTAAATTTTAATCTTTTTATTTTTTAAAAACTAACTAGTAAGAAACTCGTGTTGTGGCACGAGTCCCGTCTAGATTCATATTACATGTCTATCAAATTATTATTTGTAAAATTTGAATTCATTTTTCAATTGGTTAACATTGACATAGTTACAAATATATGCTAATAGTATGCACCAACTTTTAAGCATTGATTTGTAGTTACAATAAATCGATTTTTTAACTTCAATTATATGAAACAGCAGTAAGAGAAATATTTAAAAAATAGACATTAAAAAGATTAGTCAATAGTTGATATCTCATAGATACATTCACATCTACCCGTCAATACGTTCACATCTACCCATCAATCTAAAAATTTTTAAACCTATTTTAGATATTAGTTTATTTTTCTAAATCTAAAATGTATGACAGCTTCCGTCAAATACTTAAAAGTTTTTATTATTATAATAATTACAATTAATGAATATTATTTTCTACGTTTTTATAAAGAGACAAAATTTATTTTGATGTGAATAAAATGATAATACATAATTGTAGAAATGAAAAAAAATTGATAAATTTATCTTTTTTCATAACAAATTTATGTATTTTTTTTATCGTAATTGTCTCATGATCTTTTATCATATACAAATATTTATAATGTTTTTTTAGTATAAATATAAGGTTTTAACATAAAAAAACACTAAATTTTTTTGATAAATTGAATTTTTAAAAAAATAATTTGTTATATTTGATAGCAGTTTTAATTATAGTTAAGATATTACTAAAATTTTAAAAAGAAAAACTTAAATAAATTTAATACCATATTAAAATTTAAATAATTTTGTGCGAAATTAATTTAGTAATTTTTAATTGTTTGAAATGTTAAATATAACCTTACAAATGACGATGTGTATTCTTAAACGTACAAATAATATAACATCATAATAAAAAAATTATAATTAAATATGAATTAATTTTTAATATTAATGTTAATCTTAATTAATAAAATTATTAACTTACACTGTTAAAATATATTAAGAATTGAAATTAAAATTAATTTAATTTTAATTTTTGATTATGTTAATCAATTATTTAATTATAATTTTTTTTATTTTAATCTAATTTTTACTATAAATAGTTGAGAGTTTTTCTCAATAAAGGAGGCCACTCACGAATAACATTCACAAATTAAACTTTGTTGAGGAGCAAGAACAAAAATATTGGAGAAACAAAATTGAGTAACAATAACTCCTAACATATCTAAACCATCATCAAACTTCAACTCATAAATCTATTTTCATCTTACAGAAGTTATTGACAAGCCAATTTTTTCTTATTTACATAGTTTTGACATACATTCGGAAAAAAAATGAAAGAAACAGTAAATGATGAAGATGAGAAGCTCTGTCAACACATATCATATTTTAAGATTTTATAGAGGAAAACAAAAGAGAATATGAAAGGATGCAATAGAAAATCTTGGAAATTGCGTGTATTATGGAAACCGTGTAAATAAATTAAAAAATATATGAAAAATTCTTGGCACGACATATTATCAGTATTAAATGCTAAATGAATATAAATTAAACATTAATGAAATAAGACAATATTATCCATAAAATTAATAAAAATTAGATTTTAATCAATTTGTTTAAACCTGATATTTCTAAATGCTTTAAAATTTATATATTTATATTAGATTAATAATTCTCATATTTATCGCATATAAGTTTCTTGGTCACCAAGGATGTAGCATACATTTTTTATGGTAATATATTATATATAGTAAAACATGTGTATAAAATAAATATCAATAATATCATTATTGTGTTAAATTTATATTACTGTCATTGATAATAATAATAATTTTATTATATTAAAAAGTCAAATAATAATATAAATAACTAGAAGAAATTATTATTTATCAAATTATTATTATTATTACTAGTAATAAATTTCTTCTAGTAAAAGATAACAAATAATAAAGTAGATATAAAAGTACATAGAATTTAACAAAACAAAAAACATAGAAAAATCTAAACGGTCACAACAAGTTCATGATCAGAGACAATTTTACCTCGTAAGTGTTCTTTTTCTCCTTAATTTCAACCATTCGATTCTTAGGTTTTTTGTATTTGACTGTTGTTTGTGTTTTTTTGCTGAATTTTGTTTTTTGATATAACCTTAGTGTGTTGTTTTCTTGTATAATTTGTGTGAAATTGTTGTTTTTGATGATTTTAACATTTGGTTTGTGAGCATGTTTTTTTGAATCATAAGTTGTTCATATGATTTCTGAACAGGTGATGATGGAAGAAGAAGAAGAAGGTGACCTAGGAAAAGATGATGGTGAAACAAAAGTTGAATTTGATGTTTCAATTTCAGACCCAAAAGGGAAAAATGTTGTTGTGAATTCTGAAACTGAGAAGAATGGAATTGAAGATGAGGGAGATGTGGAAGTGGATATAATTGGGAATTCTGGGTTCAAAGGTGTGGAGAATAGTTGTATGGATTTGGCTGTTGTTGAGAGTTCCAGCTCGAGTTCTTTCGGTGATGCGTTTGCTGGTTCTGAGTTAACTGATTCTGACGAGGCTGAGTCGTCGTTTCGTGATGAACGGAGTAAGGGTTTGCCTCGATTGAGGTATGTTTCATGCTGTATTGAAAATCAGACCAAACTGGGAATGGATGGTTGGGTCTCGGTTGTACCGAGAATGAACTGTTATTGGTTTAATTGAGTTTGATTTTTTCCATTTATTTATTTATTGTACTTGTTAATACTGCTGACGATAGACTTAGATGGTTTCAGTATGTAGAAAGAAACACCTGTAGTTTCTGTAGTAAGGAGAGTAGAGGTAGAGGAAAACCTAGAAAAATCATCAGAGGAGTTATTAAGAAAGATCTTGATATTAACGATTTGGATAGAAAAATGGTCTTGGATAAAATATTATGGTGAAAGTTGATCCATATAACAGACCCTACGTAGCGGGATAAGGCTTGGTTGTTGTTGTTGTTGCTAATACTGCTAAACTGATTGAACAAATCGAAGCATGACTCGAAGGTCTCATTGGTTTGATCTGCGGGTCTGAGTTTTATAACATTGATGTGTTAGACTCAGTTTCAATTCTTTTATTTTTGAGTTATTTTTCTTGAAGCACGTATACACTTAGTTTTAGGTGTATCCTGTGTCCAACACAATTTGGACACGGACACCCGTGCAACACATGTCAGTCACCTTCAGGTGTCTGTTTAATAAAAAATGAACTGTTAATTTCGCTTCGACAAATCTCTGACAGAGCCGGGGCACCTCTAACAGACACCTTTTTTATGATGTATTTTGCCTATTTTTTATGATTTTGCTGCTGCAGGATATAACTGGTGCATATATATCTCTTTGCGTGCCTGTTTATCTGTTTTTGATTGGTTGAGTTTTGCTTCTAACTTTGATTATGTGAATCATAAAATTTCACATGGTTTTGATCTTTTATATTATTCAGACTAATTATTATGTAATATCTATCTTCGTCGGTGTCCTACATTTTGAACATTAGTGGTATCTACATGTCTTTGTCCGTGCTTGATAGGCCCTCGTGATCGAAGTTGTCTGTGATACATCATAGATGACATGTTTGTATCCTCAAATTACCTTGTGGTGTCTGCGTTGTTTTTATTTATTAGGATTTCATCTGGTTGCATGTTCTAACTTTTACTCGGTTAACTATTCAGAAAGAAAAAAATGACTGATCATTGGAAGAAGTTCATCTATCCTTTAAAGAGGCGATGTAAATGGTTAGAGATGCAACTGAGGATACTTGACTCTCAAACAAAGAAATACGAAGAAGCAATTGCGGCATATGATCAACAAAAACAACTTCGATTTTTGTTGCCTGCAGGAGATGATTTGTATATCAAGTCAGTACCTAGATCTGACGGAGTTCAAAGGAATGAAGTCATGATGAGAAAGAAAAGAAGGAGAGTTGAAGAATGTGATTTATCATCATATATGTCTAACCATTGTTTATTCTCTTACTACGGTATGACGTTACATGGTTTGTTGTAGTACTTTTTTTTTGCCGATCTATTTCTCTTTGATAATAATCATTTTTTATTCTGCCATTGTCCAGAGAATAAGAACCGAGATCATGATGTTCCCGTGGAAGATTCTCGTAATGATGTCATGAGTAAGTAGCAGCAATATATGGGTTCGTGTGCGCGCGCATGTGTTGATTTTGTTATATGTTTCTACATTCCATGACATTCAAATTTTTTAATCCTACTTTCTGTTTCATTGATATAAGGTGATGGTGATAATGCCAAGGAGTTCAAGTTGAATGATACGCGGTCTTCTGTAGATCATCGTACGGATGCTGATAAATCCTTCCTTGAGTTCATTGAAAAGGTTGAAGAGTTGTCGTCACATGTTGAGAACTTGAAAGCTCGGATTAATACTGTCATGAATGAGAATCAAGGAAAGTTCGATTCTATAACTCAATCGAACAGAATTAGGCCATCTCAACATAACTCTGAGCTATCTGCAAAAGATCACCCTTTGATGGATAATCCGTTATCAACTTGTGAAGGGATAGCTCCTTCTACCGAAGCTGCTAATACGACTCAGTCTGAGGTTCCAAGGGAAGCCAAAGAGGAATCCAAGGAATTAGTTGAGGAGCAAAAACCTATTTCTCCAGCTCAAGCTTTGGACTCTGACATGGTCACTGAGAATGTTATACCTAACGATCGTTCTATTAAACCGTGTTCATCATCAAGGTCGCCTTTCCCGAAGAACACAAGGACAGTAAGGAAGAGATCTGGCCCTTAGAGTCTTAAGCAGGAGGTGATTGGTGACATTGTATATACAATGATTGTTTCTTCAAGAGCTTGTGGATGGATGCCATGAGTTCAAGAAATGAGTTCATTTTATACTGTGTGAATATGAAGAACATGTTTTTTCTTCAAGAATGCTGTTATTTTTATTTATCACAGAAATCTGGCCCTTAGAGTTTAAAGGAGTATTGTTTCTTAATGTACTTGGGGATTATTACTTCAATAATTGAATGAATACTTCATTTTTTAATCTAAATTTAGTCATTGCATGTTCTTTGATACCTGTTTTTAAGGTAAGAGGCCGTTTTGATATGCGAGTAAAAACGGACTTAGTTGAAGAAGAGTTTTGTACGTTAAGGCCAAAAAACAAGGATTACAAAAGTAATAACCAAACAGAAAATAATCTTCATTCATCAATTGAGAGAGACTTTTCAATTAGTACATGGCCAGAACAACAACTGTATTTAATAGCCTATGGCCAGACTCATTGACACACTACAGGAACTCATCTTCTGCATCATCAGTGACAGAGTTGCCTCATCAATCACACTCACACTTTTGACGAAATGTAGTTTGCGTTGTGATCTTCAGGTAGGGAGTTAGAGCGAACTCCACCAGACGTGGATCCATGATCTGATCCTGCATCCATTTCTTTGGTGATGAAGTATTCATTTTTGACTTCTCTCTTTCAACTTTCTGTCGTCTTTCAAATTTCAATAAACTGTTTCAACTTTCATATGCTTCCATAATTGTCCCAATGTTGACAGAATAGCTTCAAGATGCGTATGCGAATGCAAGTAATAACCCGCCACAAACTCTATAAATCTACCATCAACCTCAATAACACTCCAAGCAACCTCTTTATTCGATCCTCGTTTCTTCATCATTTGTTTAACATCCTCCACATCTGCCCATCGTCGTTCTGTAGCATACAGATTTCTCAACATCACGTAATCTCCCGCACCTTCCTTCTCCGTTTTCACTGCCTCTTTAAGCACTCTTTCAGCCCTTGAAACATCTTCGAAGTAACAACAAGCAAACAGAAACGAAGTCAATATTATTTCATTAGCATCATAAGGCATGGCCTGAATCAAATTTTCAGCCTCGTCCAAACATCCAGCTCTTCCTAGAAGATCAACCATACAACCATAATGCTCAATCTGAGGCACAATTCCAAATCTCTCCATTGCCTTGAAGCATCTTCTTCCTTCCTCTACCAAACCACAATGGTTACAAGCAGATAACACACTAGTCATAGTTATCTCATTTGGTTCAAATCCTTCCCGTAACATAACATCAAACACCTCCAACGCTTCCTTTGCAAGTCCATTAACTCCATAACCGTTTATCAAAGCATTCCAAGAACCCGTATCTTTTTCCACCATCTCCTCAAAAACCAATTTCGCTTTCCCAATCTCCCCACATTTCGCATACATATCAACCAGCGCATTACACACATGAATAGATTCACCATGCTGCTTCCTTTTCACAAACCCATAAATCCAATCACCCAATTCCAAAGCACTCAAATCAGCAACAGCTGGAAGAACACTCACAACAGTCACTTCATTCATTTCCACATCCAAACTCCCTCTCATTTCACAAAACAACTTCAAAGCGTCGTGCGGTCGTCTATTCAAACAATACCCCCTAATCATCGCATTCCAGCTCATCACATTCTTCTCCGGCATACAATCAAACATAAACCTACCAGAATCAGCATCACCACTCTCACAATAACCATGAACCATACTAGTCCACGAGATAACATTCCTCTCCCCCATCTCATCAAACAACTCCCTCGCCAAATCCATACACCCCATCTTCACATACCCATCAATCATCACATTAAAAACCGCAACATCTCTATCACTCATAACATCAAAAAGCTTCCTCGCCTCACTCATATCACCCTTTCTAGCATACCCAACAATAACCGCAGTCCACGAAACCAAACTCCTCACAGACATTTCATCAAACACCTTCCTCGCACAACCCACATCACCAAATTTGACATACATATCAACCAAACTAGTCCCCACATACAAATCAAAACAAAAGCCACTTTTCAAAACAAGTCCATGAATCTCCAAACCTTCCTTGACACCATCACACCCAGCACAACCCTTCAAAACCGAAGTAAATGTATAAGAGTTTTGTATACAAAATGCATCTCTACAAAACTCTCTGTAGAGAGTAAAAGAGTGATCAAACTGACGAATGGATAAATGGGAGTTAATGATAGTGTTGTAGAGAAACTCGTCGCGGATGTTGGTTGACGTGTGGTCGAAGAAACGACGGGCGTGTTGAATGATTTTAACGGCGTGGTTTTTGCGGGAGGTGGAAGAGGCGAGTGAAGTGCAAGATGAGATGAATTTGGTGAGAAGGTTGAGGTTGTTGTGGAGAGAGTTTGTGAGGATGAAAGCGTGGATTTGAAGGAGGGTTTTGAAGGTTTTGGTTTTTTGTTGAAGTAGGTGTAAGCATTTTCTTTCGGTGATGCTCCATAGTGTTTGTTGTGCTTTTTCAACCATAGGTATGCTCATGTGTTGTGGCTTACACTACCAAAGGCGCACTTCTCTTGATTGAGTATCATATTTTACTATCGGACAAATTAAATATACTAGTAAGATGGCCTTTGTGTAGGATTTTATGGGTCTAATGATGAAAGTCGTTGAGTGTGCGAGTGTGTGACTACTACATACACAAAAGGATGAGGGGATGAATGGTAGAGTTTTGAAAAATGTTAGTTAAAAACAAGGGTTAAATATATAAACTTATGTAATATTAATGAGATTTGTTTTTAATCTCTCTAAAAGTTTTTCTTTTAAATTCTTCCTTATCTTATTTAGATTCTCTCGTAGAATTTCCTAAATGTTAAGTGGTCTGGAATATTTCCTTAGTAATTCAAATTCTATCCACGTGGATTAATAATTTCAACACATGACATTTTATTTTAGTTAAATGTTTGCTTATTAGGTATATACATTACAAATACTCCCTTGCAATAGTTAGGGTTTATGTCCAGAAAACTCAGCTCTGAAGAAGACAAAGTATCACCTTATGCGAAGACTCCGACGAAGGTTCAAGCGCTCATAATCGAAGACGAAGACGAATACGAACATATAATCAAAGACATTGAAGCTTGTAATGTCTCAGGTAAGTAGATTTTTAAACTTCTTCACTGTTAACTGCTAATATTAGGGTAACTGGGTATGTTTTTTGAGAAATCTAAGTTTTTGTGTTATCTAAAACTAATTATGTTTTCTTCACAGAATTCGCAATATTTTAATGTTATTTTTCACCATGGGAGTGAATTTATAAGGATCAATCCAAATGAAATTATTTACAGATGGGGGAGATTGATTCAACTGTAACTGGGTTACATATTGCAAACTGAACAATAGATATCATTGGAAAGTTGGTGAGTAGGTGGAAATATAAGGATGATAATTTTAGGTTATGGACAAAAGTATTAGAAATTCAAGATGAATTTAATATGATAAAAAAAGATGATGATGTATACGATTTTGCTTCATACTTCAGTGCAATGGCTATTGATGGAGATATTTTTGTGGAACATTGTCTGGATAACATGGATCCTAAGGATATGGAACCTAAGTGTGTTAATGAGGTGAAGGAAATGGATGGGTTAGAAGAGGAGTTGGTTGAATGGTTAGATGATAGTGAAGATAATATAGTTATTTCTCTTGTTAATGACTTTGAAGGAATTAATGTAACATTGTCTATCAATGAAGATGCAAGTCTTAGCGAGATTCTGTGTAGGCCCAATAAGAAAATGGATAAAGATGATTACTATAGTGATGAATTGAATAGTTTTGACCCAGATGATTCGTGTGATGATGAAAGGCCCAAGTATGAGAGATTTATGAAAGAGCACCTCAATAAGGACTATAAATTTAAGTATGGTATGGAATTTAATTCACTTGTTGACTTTAGGGAGGCTATTCGTGAGTGGTCAATGCTCAATAGGAGGGAAATTATATTTGCGAAAAATGAGAGCTATAGGGTAAGGGTAGAGTGTAAGGTTAAATGTGAGTATTTAGTCTTATGCTCTAAAGTGGACCACAAGCACACCTTTGCTATAAAAACACTTGTATATACTCACACATGTGTTCGAGTTTTGAACAACAAATCTGCAATCTCAAAGTGGGTGGCCAAGCATGTGGTAAAGAGGATACAAACATCTGAAACAATTAGGATAAAAGATGTCATGCAAGATATTAAGAAAGAGCATGGAAGACTAAGTTGATAGCAAAGAAGATAATTGAACGTGATGTTGATAATTAGTATGCATCCATATGGAAGTATACAACTGAGTTAAGAAGGCTAAATCCTAGCAGTACTGTAAAGATTAATGTTGAAAGACCATGTCCATCCATATAAACAAGGTTTGGTTCCTTTTACTTTTGTTTTAATAGTTGTAAGAAAGGCTTTATAAATGGATGTAAACCTTTTGTGGGAGTTTATGAATGTCACTTAAAGACCAAATATGGTGGGCAACTACTAATTTATAACATTGCTTATTGATACAAAATCATCGATACATGACATTGCTTATTGATAGAAAATCTTGAAAATCAATTCAGTTACAATAAACCGTAACAACTATTATTGATAACCTTAACAATATTAACTTACACAATATTGCAAACACCATACATGACAAACAAAGTACAAGCATCAACTAAAGGTTTTTTCTCTTCTCCATTACAAGCTTTTTCTTCAACTTTTCTGACTTCTTTGGGCTTCCTTATACTCCCCATTCCTTCCCAACTACACAATCAATCTCCCTAACAATCTCCTTTGCAAATTCTCTCAAATAAACCTTGGTGATTTCACATTGGTAGCATCTTGAGGGAGTATTCATGTTGTTCCCTTGAGGCCCACTAGCCAAATCATCCCACACGAACAATCCACATCCATTCTACAAATATAATTAAGATTAACACACATACTAGCAGATTCTGGAAATAT